AAGGGAAAGTCTCCCAACAGCCAGAGCAGTAAGTCCCATGAATGGCTCATATCTGTGACCCTAGCTCCTCTCAGGAAGCTGGGGCAGGAAAACAGCCACAAGTTTGAGGTTAACCTGGACTAGAAAGTGAGATGCCATCTGGGAGTAGTGGCACACATCCTTAATTCCAGCACTTGGGAGGCAGAGATAGGTGGATCTTTGTGAACTTGAAGCCAACTTGCTCTACAGGAGTTTCAGGACAGCCAGAGGTACATAGGGCTACATGTACATGTTACCATGAGGAGTAAAGAGGATAGCACACCAAACAAACAGGGACACCATTCAAGAGCTTAGGAAGTGCTATCTGCCATTATTTCATTCAAATCCTGACTCCAGCATCTCACTGTACGATCTTGCACAAGTCAGTTAATCTGGTTTTTTCACATTCTCTCCCAGGAAACTGAAGAGTCCAGGAAACTTTTATTTCCCCTACTCATCATTATCTCTAAAATGGGAATTACACGTTATAATAAACATTAGATTATTATGAAGACTCAACAAGCTAGCTCTTTGGACTAGGGGATCGGCTTCTCACATTTGTTTACCTAGGTCCAGGCTAGCCTAGTATTCTATATGTAGTCCTAGCTGACCTCAGACTCAATTTCTCCACTTGCCCCCTGAGGACTACAGGTGTGAGCCACATCTGACAAGCACACAGAATATGTTCAGCAAATGCTCGATATTGACATTATTACAATTATTACCACTAATTTCTCCAGTGAACTCTCCCTGCAACCTGGTGATATCACTAACATCCCAACCCACAGGCTGGAAAACTACGACTGAGATTGTCTGTGCTAGCTTTGTCCTAAGCACTTCACGTTTTTGGGTCATGGAACCGACCCCACTGTCCCTGCCTGTATCTTAGGAAACAAAGGAGGCACAGAGAGAAGTGAGTAAGTTGCCCAGTGCTCTGGAAATATTAGAACTATGTGTTCTAGGCACATTTCTTTAATCTCAGCACTTTAGGCAGAGCCAAGACAACCTCTTAAATTTTAGGCCAGTATGGTCTACATAGCAATATCCAGATGAAAGAAAGAGAAAGAAAGAAAGAAAGAAAGAAAGAGAGAGAGAGAGAGAGAGAGAGAGAGAGGAAGGAAGGAAGGAAGGAAGGAAGGAAGGAAGGAAGGAAGGAAGGAAAGGGAAAGAGAGAAGAACAGTAGTCAGGCAGGGTGTTACAGGCTTTTAACTCCAGCGCAGGTGACAGAAGCAGGCAGATCTCTGAATCCAAGACTAGCCTGGTCTACAGAGCTATCTTCAGGACAGCCAAGGCATAGAGGAACTGTGTATCAAAAAACAAAAACAAACAAACAAAACAACTGTAGCCTTTCTGACTCTGGAAGAAACAATATGGTTCCATCAATCAGTTATTTTAGGGGTTACGGGATCAGACATCTAGGCGACATCTCATCGTACCAACCACTCTGGCTCTGGTCCAGCAAGGCAAGGGTAAGCCAGAGCTGAACCCTAGAAGTTCTTTTGTCAGAGTTGAAACACACCTCTCTCAAAGCACATCATCTAGAAATAGAAGAGAGCATTTGACTTCCCCAAAAAATCTAAAACTCATATATTTATCTCCCAGGTGGAAGTTACCTTAGCACTCTCCAGAAATCAGCAGACTCTGTCTCTACCTCCCTGGGGACAGTGGGCAAGACACTGACTTTCTCAGAGTACTGATTGACATTGGATCCAGACCAAAGGGTATGACTTCCTTGATTCAGGAAGAGACAGAGGGTCTGGGAGTTAAATGTGGCTGGGACTAACATCCCTCTGCTCCTGCTTTCCCAGTGTTCCGTATCTTCTGAATATGCTTTGTAAGTTCTAGAGCATTTAAAGCGTTCTGCAAACACAGGGAGGTTAATTTCATCATTACATTATCGCAACACCCACCTTCCTAGTGGCACTTTAAAGAAGTTAAAGGAGGAAGTATTTACTTCTTGTATACATAATCACTCCAAGAAATAGGCATTTTTAGGACAGAAAAGTGGGACATGGGGAACAAGGTTTCTTTGTGTAGCTTTCTTGTAGCACCGAACTTTTCTACCTGGCCTCTTTGTTCCCAGAATAAAGACTCTGAGACTTAAGTATGAATAAATGCCTAGGTCATAACATTTTAGGGGTTATGGGATCATACATAACCTGTTCCTGCTAGCTCGTAACTCAATTATCCCATTTAAACCAGTCTAAGTCTGCCATAAGGCTAGTTAACCTTGTGAGGATAGAGTTAGCCAGAGCTAGGCTGACTCCATGACAGGCTGCAAACTGTCAGTTTGGGAGACTAGGCCTAAGTTTCTGTTTCCCAGAACTGAAAAAGTCAATTCCAGGAAAAAAAAAAAATCAGGAAGCTGCCCCACTACCTAGCCTGATCTAACCTCATGGGCAGTCTAGTCAGGAGTTGTAGAAGCTGCCTTACCACCTAGCTTAAGCCAAGTATAGTTAATCAGCAAAAGTCCCCCAAGTCCCCCAGAGCCTTAGCAAATCACAAAGGGAAAGAAAGGTAAAAGTCACCCATTCCTACCCTAATAGGCTTTACATTGCAAACCCTACACCTCTGGGTTCCATCCTGTTGTATGGTAGACTCTGTATGCTGGATCTCTACAGAATAAATGTTCTTTGCTATTTGCATACTATTTGAGTCTGGAGTATCATTCTTTGCAATCACAGACCCTTGCACCTCTCCTCAGTTTTGTGTGTTTGAGCAAAACCCCTGCCTCTGTCTTTCGTATGTATAGTTCTACAATTCTAGGATCAGGACTCTTTTGTCATTCTATAAAGGCTCCTCAAATGCTAAGTCAGTGAGTGACAAGCCTGATGCTGAGTACTGGCCAGAGATGGTCCAGATCTGGTTTTTGTAAACAGACACATCATATTATAAAAACTATGGTAGAGACATCGAGGAGCATCATGGGGAGAAACCAGAGGATGAAAATAGCAAGGAAAGGCAGGTTGAGAACAGAAATGAAACAAATAAATGCATGAGGTCCTAGGTTCAACCAGTTATTTTTAAAAAGACAGAAGCTAAACTGATAAGCTATCAGACCATATACAAGGTGCTCTTGACCATTCTACCGGGGTCCATCTTCCCTTTGTACATGGGCCACTTTTCCTATTAAAGGAACTGTCAAAAACCATATAAATGATACTTATGGAGGATCCCAGCCTAAAGAAGAGTTGCAATTACTTAGAAAGGGTGACATTTTACTCTGAGGAATCTGAGGAATCACAGAAGTAAGAAAGGAACAACATCTTTTGTGTAGATTATAAAGATGTATTCTTTTGGCCATGATGATCCAGAAACTGTGGAAGGATCAGTAAAGAGCCATAAGCCATGAGTCAAGGAACACTGGCTATCTCACCACAATTGCTGCTGGGATACGATGCCACAAGGATGGAGACACCCTGCCACCCTGCAAACTTAATCCACAATTTGAGAGTGTCAAGAGGTAGAACCCTGCCAATCCTGGTGGCACACACCTTGATCCAAGCACTTGTGATGCAGAGACACATGGATCTCTTGAGTTCTAGGACAGCTGGGGATAGATACATAACAGCATCCTGTCTGGAGGAGGGAGGCACCTTAAGCCAGATGCGGTAGAGTATACCTGCTATTCCAATTCCAACCAGTCAGGGGGGTAAGCAAAAAGGATCAGGAGTTCAAGACTAGCCTAGGTTACACAAGACCTTATCTAAAGCAAATAAACAGGCAAATCAGTAAGTGGTGATTAGGTAGAGTGCTCTTGGCACAATGCTGGGGATTGTGACAAACTCCCCCAAACAAACAAACAAACAAACAAACAAAAAATCACAAGAGCTACAAATAAGTAGTTATGTTAACTAGCAGTAATATGATCTAAATGGGTAGATGAAGGACTCTTAAGCCTGGTCTCTCAGAGGAAGTAACATTTAACCTGAGGCCTAAAGACTCAAGTATTTGTCAGAGAGGGAAGCAATTTCAAGGCTTAGGGAAGAACATGTGCAAAGACTTGAAAAGGCTACTCAGAGAAACTGAGAGGCCAGTGTGGCTGAGGCTTGAAGATAAGGGTAAACTGGTAGCATGGTAAAAAACAAGACTGTATAGATGAAAACTGGGATGGACCAGGAGACCCTTCCCAACCAGGTTTAAAGCAGGTTAAGAATTCTGGATATAGCCAGGCGGTGGTGGCGCACACCTTTAATCCCAGCGCTTGGGAGGCAGAGGCAGACAGATTTCTGAGTTCGAGGCCAGCCTGGTCTACAGAGTGAGTTCCAGGACAGCCAGGGCTACACAGAGAAACCTTGTCTCGAAAAAAAAAAAAAAAAAACAAAAAAGAATTCTGGATACAGAGCATGCTCCAAGGTCATCTCAACCAGCCCAGGAGTAAGGGGTAGCTAGCTGTCCACTCAGGTCTCTACATTTCAGTGTTTTATCTAATTACAGTGTTTTATCTAATTACGGTTGTCATCACACTACAAAATATTTAACTACTGGGACATTTAGTAAGGTTTAAAGAAGGCTTAGCCCTTTCAATCCAACCCATCAGGACCCCAGGTCCCCATCTTCCAGCAGACATAAGGCTGAGAGATGGAGTGACGAAAAACGTTTAATAAACGTAGCTGATACTAAGGTGAAGACATAAGGTAGTCACTCTCTTTTGCGCTTGCTTCATTTCTTCCAAGTCTGGAATTCAGGGGCTAAGTACTCTAGCTGTTAAAATTCTAATATCCAATGGCATGTGAGAGGATCCTAAGATCTGGAGAAACAAGCTTTGGGGTGTCTAGATTTTTAAGATTCTAAGCTTCTTTTCTCCAAGAAATTCAACGGAAACAGGTTGCTGTTCAGCAACAGCTGGTTTGCAAGCAAGCTCTATTGAGCCTCTCAGCATCTCCCGAACTGCCAGAGTAACAACTTAGCTCCACCCTCTGCCCCCACCCCACTTCCTCCACCAACCCTCTTCCTCCTCCTTCTGTAGCCTAGCCAAAAAGCCAAGTCTGAAAGTCTTAGGGGCGGAAAACAAAACTAGCTTGCTGGAAAAACAGGAGCTGAAAGTAGAAGAGGGTGGGGGAGTCCCGGCATGCCCATCGGCCTGAGCAGCTGACGACTTCCTGGTCTTGGCGGGCTGGCAGCAGACGGGCTGCAGCAGGCGAGCAGCAACAGTAAAAGGTGACCATGGCTGCCCACCCCAAAGCCATGGGGCGGGCACGAGATGCCATCCTGGACGCTCTTGAAAACTTGACAGTGGAAGAGCTCAAAAAGTTCAAGATGAAGCTGCTGTCAGTACCACTGCGCGAAGGCTATGGGCGCATCCCACGGGGGACCCTGCTGCCGATGGATGCCATAGACCTCACTGACAAACTTGTCAGCTATTATCTGGAGACGTATGGCTTGGAACTCACAATGACTGTACTTAGAGACATGGGCTTGCAGGAGCTGGCTGAGCAGCTGCAAAAGATTATGAAAGGTGAGTGTCCCTTTGTTCGTCTTCCCTCGACTTCCTACACACCACCAGAGGCTTGCCTCTTTGACGCTTAACTTTCTGTTCCTCTTGCCATACAAACAAAAAACAAAAAAAAAAAAACAAAAAAACCTTCCTTTTGTAGCCTTGAACTTAGCACCCTGGGTGGAGTGGGAGTCAACCCCCCAAAGACTGTTGATAAGGGTAAAGAACCACCTGGCATTTCTTTGCAGAGTCTGGAGCTGTGGCAGCTGCAACTGGTGTCCCTGCTCAGAGTACAGCCAGAACAGGTGAGGCTTCCCCACCCTACCACACCCTTGCACAGTCTATCTATTGTGCCAAGGCCAGACTGGACTCATTAATAACCCTGCCTCCCTACTACCCACACATTTTTAGAAGACTGTACTTTGCCTGTGTAGTCATGGTGGGTGGCTTTCCTTAACAGCCCCTAAAATTACATTTAGTAACTTTTGAAGCAGTGTTAAACACTGTTGTCACTTCGACCCTCAGGACATTTTGTGGACCTGCACAGACAAGCACTCATTGCCAGGGTCACAGAAGTTGATGGTGTGCTGGATGCTCTATATGGCAGGGTGCTGACTGAAGGACAGTATCAGGCAGTTCGTGCAGAGGCCACCAACCAAAACAAGATGAGGAAGCTCTTCAGCTTTGCTCCATCCTGGGACCTGACCTGCAAGGACTTGCTCCTCGAGGCCTTGAGGGAAACACATCCGTACTTGGTGACGGACCTGGAGCAGAGCTGAGGTATCTTTTCCAGCTACAGATCTAGCTCCTGACTTTGTATACACAATTTTTGAACAACCAATTTGTATTTGTGTTTTCTCTACTCTCCGATGTTTGTGCTGAGCTAAGCTACATTTCCAAAGGCCACATAGGCTAAGAGGTGTGGCTCATTGGTAGACCATATACCTAACATGCACAAATCAGTCTCTAACACCAAAATTCCAGACTCAAGTTCTGGCTTCTCTGTTCTAGTGCAAAAGGTTTCTCAAATGATTCCTGGTTCCCCATTTAGGAGCTTTCCCCATTATTATCCCAAAAGACTACCTTTGAGAACACACTTAACATTATCCAGGTCAAGTTAAAAAGTGAGAGAAGGGAGCCAGGTGATGGTTAATCCCAGTACTCAGGAGGCAGAGACCTCTGTGAGTTCCAGGACAGCCAAGGGTACACAGAGAAACCCTATCTCAAAAAAAAAAAAAAAAAAAA